CCCTTGCCGTCTAGTATGATAAGCTCTCGTTGTCATATTGTGACGCGGCTACTATGAGAAGATGATGACATGTGTCATCTTCAGAGCTGTTGTCATGACGGCGATAATTTAGGTTAGGATAATCGACGGCGCATTGTAAGGTTGTAAAGAGCTCACTGTTGGATGACTTTGTATGGCCAAGATGTTAAAATGGCTCCCAAGAGATATTATCTTGGACCTTATCATATATGAAGCTTAGTAGGGATGGCAAGGGTATGAGAGAGATCAGGAACATCACCTTGTTGACTAAGGAGTTTACTTGATGGAAGTGGAGCCAACGTGAGACATGAATAGATGACAACATGATCCTCTAGATGTACCGATGCCCAATCCATTTGTGATCAACATCCGGTGAAGTTGTTCCACTGAAGTTTTACCAATTGTAATGAACTCGAATGTGGAGTGTTGAGGGGGAGAAACTGAGATTGTCAACTCACACAAGGTTCAAAAGGGTTCTTCTACAGCCACACGCTCATGTGTTCTTAGAGTGAAGCAATGTCCATGCGACATCGTGCACTCTCTCACGAACATGTCAAAGTCGATGTTCATAGCTCAATATAAATCCAAAGCGAAAGGAACAAAGAGTTGACATCTCTACATATCCATATACTTGGAGACCTTGGCTGTTACCGCTCCGCTCGCCGCCCTTCCTCGAGGATGGGTGATCACGCTCTCTGAAATTGTGTCACGAATATATTCGGTAACCATCACGTCTGCCATGGTCCTCTCCGACCAAATATAGATCTGTCTAATCCTAGTCGGCCGCAAGGTATACCAACGTTCATTCCATGTGAGATATCTAGACTCTCACGCCATAACAAACACCATATCCGTAATGGGTAACATACGTTGTGATCCAAATATACAACTAGTGATACAAAGTGATATGACAATCACATGGGAGTAATGAAAATATATGAACGAAACCCCAAATACCTTGGTTTCTTCGCCTTATATAAAGTGATCACAAACAATAATAAATAGAAAACAAAAGTTTGACGGGAAAGATATACAAGAAACCAACGAACTCGTAGCAACAATGAAAACCAGACGGGACCAGTGCCCGCCGTCAACTGGTTCCAAAGTTCGATGTTTCCAGCACCGAGCAACCATTACTGTACTCAAAGCGGGACCACCAACCGTCCAGAGTCTGCACCAAGACGAGATAAGTTCCAGAATGTGGGCCCAGCGGCGGGTTTAATCTGAAATCTTATGGAAATTACAGTGTGCATTCCATTAGGGCAGTTCCTTGTAAGCAGTATCTTCTAGTTTAATATGCCGATTTATTACGTATTTATGCAGCCCTTGCCGTCTGTCCGCCATCAAACAATACTGCTTGTTAGTGGTATGTGATCTTCCGCTCATCAAATACTTCGTTGTAGACCGTGCTGGAATAGGCCGCAAACGAAGAAATCCGGTCGTTTTCCGTAGTCCTTATTCCCGAGATGTTGATTATCGGATAAGTGCCTAGTGAGAATGCTGGTAAGTAACTGGGCACAGAGACAGAGTAAAGTTTGATGTTTCACGTGCCCTTTACGAACCGATTTTGAGCGGTAACCAGAAGAATCAGACGCTTTGTTCAGCTTTGTACAAGTTGGTCGGAGTTCACAAGCTGGTCGGCACGAATTTGCTAAGTTTCCTGCCGCCATGATTCTTGTCTCGACTCTATTTTCTTGAGTAGAGATAAGCTTGATAGGGGTCAAGTGGCTTTTACTCTATTTGCATTTGGATCGTCCCTGTCTGCCCGGCAGTACCGTTCTGGAATTTGAAACGATGTACTCTGAAGTATTTTCCTTGGTGTGACATGAGCGGAGTTGGTGCGAGTGCCCATCACATGAGTACAACTTCTCCACTGTCCTTTCCGATGCTCTGAAAGTGTGAGTCTCAAGGAAAACGATAGGGTCCTGTCACAAACTCTCCATGCCGTTTGGCGAAATTCGAATCAGTTGTTATGCATTGCTTGCTCGAGCCGACGGCTTCCTGTATGCAGCAGAGTCTGTTCTTCCGGATGTCTCGCAGCTGCTAGCGTCGAGAATTCTCCAGACTGCGAACTGTCCGGCAGGATAATCAATCGGGATGCTATTTTGTATCTGAGAACCTCCATTAGTGCAGGGTTGGAATCAATTCGAGCGGTGCTGCATCCGTGCAGTATGGAGCTGATTGGAGCGTTTCTGATAGAGTGGATGACTCTGTCCACTCTGTTGATCCCCGTCATTCTCATCAGCTTAATCGTCTTTTCGACGTTCAGGAAGTTCAGTCCCGCCTGCGGTGGTGCAACCAGAGAGCTGCCCCCGCGGCCTTTCACAGCATTTCCCATCGTGGGAAGTCTTCCTCAGCTGATGTTTGCTGAAAAAACCCCTCACAGATTCGTCGAGGATCTCTTGGTCAAGCATGGTCCCATCATAATGATCAAAGTTGGACATCGCAGGCAGGTTTTCATCGGCAGCTCTGAACTAGCAAGGGAGTGTCTGGAAACTCACGATGAAACCTTTGCTTCCAGGCCAAAGAGGGCTACTAGTAGATACCTTTCATTCGGCAATGATGATCTTGGTTAGTCACAAAACTCTACCATTCACGTCTTGCAGTTGGTATCATACGCAGTCACTTACAATCCATTAGATTCATCCAGTTTCAGAAGTTTTGAGTACATCTTCGTTGCATATCGCGGCAATGTATCACGATTACAGAACTCTACTAATCATTAGCCATGAAGACCTCTTGTGCAATGGTGTTGCTAGGTGGTTTTTCGAGTTCCGATTCTTTGTGTACTGAACGATCGTGTTTCAGTGTGAAAGAAGATCAGTGGAGCTGTTATACGGACTCTGTTCGTTTGATGTCGGAAGTACAAGTGACAAGCGAACATTAGCTTTAAGCATGCTTTGAAGACATGTGGTTAGTATGTTGAAGGATCGCCAGTTAGTCTGTACTGAAGGCGAGCGCCACTGATCGGGACATTGTTGCTCAGATGCCGTCTTACTTTCTCTGAAGGTTAGAGGCACGATAAGTTAGAGAAGCCTTCATTGCTGCTTGTTTGAGACAAACTGTGCCGAGCTAATGTGTTCGGGTTGTTTATGTGGTTTCCGCAGCAAATGTAGCGTATGGAGATCACTGGCTATTTTTGCGAAGAATCTACACTGACGAACTGCTGTCTCCGAAGAAGGGCCCACTGTTTGCGAAAATTAGATCCGAGGAACTGTCTCTCTTCGTTCGGAGCATAATGAAGCAGCAGAGGGGCAATAATCCTATCTATGTCAACCTGCGCAAAAGGATCGTGGAAATCACTCTGAACATGATCACCATGATGGTGATGAGTGCCCGGAGCTTTCCTTATGCTGACATCAATGTAACCAATAAGGCTTTTGGAAGAGTTTATAGTGAACGGGAGATCGATGAAATGCGTACCCGGGGCCCAGACTGGAGAGAGTACAGCTCTGAGATGACAAAGCTCTTCACCACTCCTCTGATGGAGGATACCATACCTGTACTAGGATTCGTAGACTCGTTGACTGGGAGGAGGCATAAGTTGAAGAGAGCGAAGATGCGTCTTGTGGAGCTGTACAAAGAGGTCATCGACAGCCACAAACAGAGGAGGGAGAAGCAGCCCGCCACCGAAGCCGACTTCAACTTTCTGGACACGTTGCTGGCCATGCCCGGACCCAAAGGCGAACCCAATCTCTCCGAAGATACAATCATGGGCCTCCTTCAAGTAAGTGTCACCACCTGTATCAGTTTTGCAAGTACAGCTCTTGAATATGTCGTCTTCTCTACGCTGAGCGTTCGACTCAAACATTCGGATGCAATCGCCCAAATTCTCCCCAGATGTGCATCTAGCGACTATGCGCTTGATCTTTCTGTGTATTGGTCGTTTCCCGAATGCACTTCTGTACCCTGGCACGCTTCCGAGGATAAGCATCATGAGCAGCTCTCTGTAATCGGTCCAAACAAGCATGAGTTAATCTCTCCGGTAGATAGGATCGGAAGTGTCATGTGGGTATCTCTCGAGTGTAGGGCCTGTAGGCCCACTTTGTCGTTGCGTCATGAGTACCCGGCATCCCTTTCAGTTGCCCGAAGGAGTGTGATATTGATTAACCACAGTAACGTTTAATTCTCTTCATCGAAATTTCGGAGACTCCATGTAGTTTCTCGTTTTGTCGTTTCTCGGATAGACAAGAGAATGGTCTTCTCTGTTCTGCAAGAGGGACTGGACCCTGCTTTTCCTCCCCGTTGGAAATGTACAGCAACTTCGGTGTAGAATTTTGACTGCTATGCGATCGATCTCTGCTCCTCCCACCCAGGAATCATACCCTCAGACCAAGTTTTCAGAGCTTGTAAGGGCTAGGTCGATAGTGAGCACTTGGTGCTAATAGGAATCGCCGCCTATCCCGGTTGTCGGGAGGTTGTTCGCGGGCAGGTTAAAACTTGTTCCTGATTTTCACAAACGGCATTCCGAGAATCGGTCTCGGGACCCTTTGCACCGTAAGCAAGAATCGTACCACCGGACCAAATGCCCTGGACACAGGAGGTTTGGTTTTCAGAGGTCTGACCATAGAGAAACTCACGCACGGAAAGTTACAGGGTTGATCCACCGTTCTCCGTCAACTCGCCGGAGGCTCCTTTGCCCCTTGTTTACTCTAGTGCTCAACACGCAGTACCATAAATGCCGGCTCCGGTTCAAAGGACGGAAATTGCCTGCGAACGTGGGGGGCGCACTCGTCTTACACCCTAACAAGAATTGTTAGAACTAGAACAAATGCCCTTGACACGTGTACATCTCATTTTGGATACTATGGATAATCATCCTCACCATGGAGGGTCATAGGGTGACATGTCAGTAACAGTGATATGGCTAAGGTTTACTTTGCTGTGTTCTTTAAAAGATTCTGTCTCTGACTATCCCTTACATCCTGTTCAGCTCGCCACACCATATACCATACACTTAAGTCTCCAGTTAAAAAAATTGAGGGGCATTCCGAGAATTGGACTCGAGTCCTCTTACAGCCCAAGCACGAATCATGACACTAGACCAAATGCCCATGAGACGTGACACAAACTAGACAGAGTTACGTCTACGTTGTGTCAGTCAGAGGAAGAGGAAGAGGACCCTTGTCATTTAGCCTGATGTGTTCTAGTTTCATCTTTTCTTAGTAATTATGTTCTGTACCTGTACGCATGAACTGCCATTCCCCTTAACATGCCAAGCATGTGTAACCCGAGTTTTCAAGGTGAATCGCATACCCTGAGAGTTGAAATGGGACCTCTTGCACCCTAAGCAAGAATCATACCACTAGACCAAATGACCCTTGACGTCAATTGGAAAAGGTACATCAATTTGAAACTTCACCTATGGGTATCATTGACAAGCAATTTCTAGTTTGCAGTAAAAAATGCCGATGAAAACCTTGGTTAGTTGCAAACCCAGATAATCTGCCACTTGGAGTGAAGAGTAAGACCACCAGACAAGGTACATATTATCACATAGTAAACGCTAGATAATTCTATTTGCAGTTTGGCAACTTTTAAGCATCTATACTACGCAAGACACATGTAATTCCTTGACAGTTTTATTAATGCAGAAGAAGACACTGGCAGCTTTGGTGACAAAACTGGACCTCCCCGAGAATTGAACTCTGGACTACGGTGCAAACAATCTAATGCGAATCCATGATGTAGCAGGGGTTTTCTAGAGTACATTCGTCCCGCTGGATATCGTATGTGCCGTATTCCCGCTGTAAAGCAGTCGTGGATGCTATACGGCTGTTCGGATTCTCGCGGTTATGAAATTTCGTTAGCCGCCGTGTTAGGAAATACGGCGAAAACGAGATCCGCCGAAAGGAATATCGAGTACAAGGACTGACACCTCCTAGTATGTTATCCGCTTCGGCATCTAATCCGTTTGGGAATGAGGCAATTGTTTATCATGCATGAACTCGAAGAAGATCAAGATTGTTACTTCTGTAGTAACGCTGAAACAACTGTGGAACGAAGGGGTCTATAGAACAACATGTAACTTCCATTACTTGTGGAATGAAGTTGATAACGCTGCATCGCCATGTGAGCAACACACACTAAAATCCGCCCCCTGGAGTTGAAAATATGTAGATGTCGGACCTGAAGAACACTGGGGATGAAATTTTGCGAACTACGAAGAAGATTGATTCTTCACTCCATAGAAGATACAGACTCCAAAAGCATGAGCGAATACTAACTGTCTAATGGCTAATATTCCTATTTTGCGATGCATTCCGAGAAGCGAAGTCGGGACCTCTTGCACCTAAAGCGAGAATCATACCACTAGACCAAATCCCTCACTTGCCTTAGTGGCTTACTACTCAATACGATGGTGTTCATCTTTCCCTCAAATTATGCATTAATCTATTTCCTCGCTCAATGTACGGTAACTCAGTGGTTAGCTCAAAGTGTTTGGTTCCTCAATTGCTGTGGTCCCAAGGCACCGAAGAAAGTTTGGGCCAAATTCTTCCTGATCTTTGTTTCGGTTTGATTCTTATTATAGTATGCTTGCCGTGTCTAGCACCCATGTGGCAACCTTGATGGCCACGTGGAAAACGAACTACTTTACTAATAATGTAGCAGGTGGTTTTTGATGTTCTCAACTAGAGTGCCAGTGGACTATCACGTTGACTTTCTTCGTGCTTCCGAGGTTCTGTACACATTGTCGAGCATAAATTTTCAGAGCTTGGCTAGCTGGTTCAAATCTCTCTAACAGTTTTCTTTTTCAATCTAACTGCACGCTTGGTTTAAAAATTGGAGCAACCGCTAACCTGTAGAGAGCGTCATTACCATGTGCTCTCCCGCTTTGCCCTTTGCATACAGCAAGGAAGATCAACAAGTCATGTAGCCACATCACATTTCACCATCACCACATCAGCCTCTACGTTGGAGATGCGGGGTGTCGATCCCCGTACCTCTCGCATGCTAAGCGAGCGCTCTTCCATCTGAGCTACATCCCCATGTGAGAAATCAGTTATGCCCTAAGTTTCTGTTTCTGAACTTCATTCTTCCCGATGCGTCGCCCTTTTCTCGTTTTCATTTATAACGGTGGTGACTGCATCAGCACCAGGTTTGCTAGACATGAAACATGCATTGGGTGTTCCAAAGCCGAAACCTAAAACAGCAACTGGAAATGCGGGGTACGAGCCTCGGGCATCTCAGCTACAAACCCGGTTTCTCTCCTAATTTGCTCAACATGCGGTACAGATTACCCTATTTAATTTAAATTTTAGAGTTCCCAATCCGAGGTAGAGCCTATCAAAGTCCAAACTCTTCAAACCTGTTGTAATTGCGGGATGGCGGTACTCCCCTCTCGCATGATCAGTGAGCCCTGTATGATCTGAACAACGGTCTCTACGGGCATGTTATTATGTTTTCAATATCTGACATGCCTAGTGATTAGTTTGTCGTAACCAAGTTTCAGTCTAGAGAACCGACTGACGCATCGTAGATTTACACGGCGCACCCGAACCGCTGGAGATGCGGGTATCGGTCCCCGTGCGCCTCGCCTGCCAAGGAGCGCTCTGTCATTTGACTACATCCCCGGATGATCCCAATGTGTTAGTTTCAACGAATAGAGAAACAAAACTAACAAGTAGTCAAATTTCATTGTTACTGCCCTTTCAAAGGGACAGCTTGCAGAAAGAATCTTGTGCATCTTCCCTTTTATCCCATGCGTCGCCGTTTTCCATTTCAATTACAGTACCAAACGTTAGTGTGCAAGACATAAATATTCTTTAACAAAAGTAAAAGTGAAGATTCTGCAAGGCGTTCTGCGATGATGGGATCTCTGAAACCAATGCTCTATATGAATTCTTGTATGCTCAAGAGGTAGATGGAGTGAAGATGCGTGGTATCGGTCCCGTACCTCTCGCATGCTGAACCCTCAACCAACTGAGATGCATCCCCCTTGCCCCACTGCACCACTTGAGCTAAATACCAATATAATTTCTTTTCTTCTTTAAGGACTGATGCAGCTTGCTCAAGTAAATTTCTTATGCAGCTCTTTCTCACAACAATTTTTTTTCAGTTGGTGTTATTCAAAGCACATGAATTCAAGTCGAGATTGCATGAAAGTGGTGTTCTCAGTACAGCAGTGTATTATCAGCGATAACCCCCATGAGAGTTAGATTTCCATTTATGTGAACAGAGGAGTGGAGACTTGTACACTAAACATTACGGAGCATCATTAAATTATCTGGTAATGGAGTTCTGGGGCAGTAGCTCGTAAAAGCTTTTGTTGCGAGCTGTGGACGGTGAGGCTCTACATACTTGGTGCCACACGTAATGGAAGCGTGGAGAAATGAATCTGTTGTGGGCTATCAAGAGGATGGCATCCGAAATGGGGGTCAATCCAATGACTTTCTGATAACGAAACAGAGACGCTCTATCCACTGAGCTACAGGCTCCTTACATGTACGAAACTCAAGTTTTGTTCTCACTTAAAAATCTAGCATATCAAATCGAGTCCTGGCAACTTGCCTCTTTCTGTACTCCTGGAGAAATCTGCAGGATATGAAACCTTCACTGGCTTAAACTTTACTGGGACGGTGTTGATGTTCACTCTCGGAATACGTGTTACGATTGCATCTGCTGTATATGACCATAGAATATTCTCTGAATTAACTCTGACTAACCTCTTCCTTTGGTTAAACTTTGTTAAGAGGGCCAATTCGGTTTCAGTCTTTCCAGATGTTGCTTATATTTATATATATGGCCCTAAATGCCCTTTCTGACAATTTCGACACTAAGTTTAATTTTCTGCACATTCTCTATTCGTGGGTATACCATCTTCAAGAAGATGAAAATATTGGGAACTGGGAACCTCATCGCTTTCGATGATATGGCTTAGAGAAAAGATGTAACCCTGTTGGTTCTCATGCACATATTAAGTAATCATTCGTTTCTGCTTTCATGATTACTTAACGTGTTTTCTCTGAAGGATGAAGTCGTAAGCCCATCTCCGACTAAGACCCAAGATAGATAAAATTTGACAAACTGGTCATACACGAGAAGTGCCCTCGAGATTTTATGCTGTATCAGATGCTGTCTTGAGCTTTTCAAGACAGGACTGACAAATGACTGAGATTGAATTCCCGAGTGGCTAACTAATGCAGCTAGGTTTTTAATATGGTGACCTACACGCAGGATGGTCCTGATATGGCTGCACCAGGAAAGGATAAAGTCGTAGGCCCAGACTCGGGTATTGCGCACCCAGGACAGACACGAGATAGATGGAAGTTGAGAAACTGCTCATCAACCAGAAGTGCTATGAGCATGTTTTCCTGTTCCAAATTCTGTCTTGGTTTCTTCCAAGTCTAGAAGACTTCGGGTATTTGTGGAGAGATGTGGTGTATCGACCCCCGTGCCTCTCGCATGCTAAGCGAGCGCTCTACCATCTGAGCCACATACCCTTGTTTCGTTAAACTTCCTGCATATTTCATGCAGGAAGTTTTAACGAAATTAGTGTACTCCATGTTTTGGAATACCGTAGCCGTTATCCTCCGTTGAGATTACAAAGGCCAAAACACTTCACTTCATGGAGATGCGATGTCGATCCCCATGCCTGTCGCATTCTAAGCGAGCGTTCCACCATCTGATTTACACCCCGTTTATTTACACCCTTTAATGAAGTAATAAGTTCTTGTTTTTGTTTTTTGTTTCTAAAAGTGTGAATTCTCTTAGATGATTAGCTGAATGAAGAAGAGCTCGGATTAAATGCAGCACGGAATAAATGGAGTGATATGCTTTGTGCAGTCAACCGTTGCAACAGGATCTTTGAGCACATCGTCGACTATAGAGTGGGCTTTGGCTCACTTGCTCAAATACCCGCACTGCATGAAGACATGTTACGAGGAAATGGACACGGTTGTTGGGCTTCAGAGATGCGTGGAGGAGGCTGATATTCCGAACTTGCCGTACCTCAGGGCTGTTGTCAAGGAGACTTTCAGATTGACTCCCACGGGGCCTTTACTTCTTCCCCACTTCACTACAGCTGACTGCAAGGTACTTCCATTTCATTATTGTGTTCTTTGCAACTTTTCTTCAACACTCATCCCAAAGTCTGCAAAGTTTTGTTTAGCAGAACTATCAATCAGATTTCACAATAGCTTTGATATATGGTATGATATCGGTCACATACTAGCCGAAGTCTTTCTACATCTCCCCACTTGTCAGTCAAACGTTCTTTCTTCGAGGACGGGCTATCTGATTCATGAATGTTGAGTGGGCGGAAAGAAATTGGCGCCGTCATTCGTGCTCAGAGTCTAAATCTAGTATGGGTTGCATGGAGATGTTAATCGAACAAGTTTCTCTTGTGCTTGTTGCAGATCGGCGAGTACGACATCCCAGCCAAAACAGCGGTTTCCTTTCATGTGTGGGCCATAGGTAGAAACGCACTAACGACGGCAAATCCTCTGACATTCGATCCGGAGAGGTTTCTCAACTCTCCTATTGATATCAAGGGTCAACACTTCGAGCTCTTCCCCTTCGGAGCTGGTAGAAGGTGTTGCCCGGCCATAGAGAACAGTATGAGTATCGTGCAATTCACCCTCGCCCGCCTCATACAGAGCTTCACTTGGTCTCTCATCGGAGACATGACACCGGAAAAGCTGGACATGCGAGAAGTTTTTGGGATGATGATCACAAGACTCAAGCCCCTTGAAGCTAACGCTATTCCGAGGCTATCTCCTGACCTATTTTGAGAGCACACGCGCTCAACAAGAGGAAGCAAAATTATTGTTTGAGAGATGAACTGCAGTAGCAGATTTGACAGCAGCGTTGGCTTTGAATCAGCATATCCCATGAATACATGTAAACTTCAGCAGTAATAGCAGTAGACGGACGATGTTTTAGAGCAGGCGTTTAAAGGTAGTGGTCTTGGAACTAGAGGAGGTGTTGTGCAATGTGATCGAAGGTGGTAAGGATCGTGAATTATTGTTGCATTACGATGAGAGGAAAGGTTGGCAGTAAAGTGGAGGCATCGGTTTTAACATCTGTGTACATCTTGAAAGCACCAAGGCACATTGATGCATAAAAGACCTTTCGGTGCAGCTGACGCAGTCTCGTGTTTCGTCTTTCATGAAACCCACAACACTCATCACATCCCATAATGGTGTCTACCGGAGCTGCCAAGCCCCAATAAAACTTGCCAGGAAATCGTCACCTCCGCCAATCCTGCAGTGAATCATCGACAGTAGCCTTAATTCTCGCCTAAGCTCATACCGAGCTTTCAAGGGCGTAAAAGCACTTCGAAGCCAATCGGGAGCAAAAGGGAGAGCGAGCTCAGCTCTAACTAA